TTTCAAAGATGTAACTAGAACAAAGCTTTAAGGTACATTTATCCATATTCTTTATTTTTCTAAAGTCTTATCCCACTTTCCTAGAATAACATACCCTTAACCCTAACTCCATTACAAGTCAAGTAAAAGTATTATTGATCTACTGATGTATGTGTTCTAATGGTGGGGATTTAGAGATCTTTCAAGCTTATGGTAAAGGATGATGTCATGATGTAATGATGAGTGAAGTTTTCAGTATAAACACTTGAGAGATTAGAGCAAACACTTTAACATAAGAGATGTTTCCTTAAAATGAGTCCTAAAACTATTAAAGAGTACTTGACCATGATGATACTTTGTGAGTTATGATTTTGATCTTTTTATTCTCCCACTTTTGATTGATGAAGTTTTTCCTAACCATTGTATTTTTTTCAGATGTCATTAACGATTGTAGCAATGCCCTTATTTGCATTTCATGCATACATACTTTTCTTTTCTTTCTTTTTTTCTTTCTTTTTATCTTTTGCTTGGAAGTGGAAAAGAGAAAAAATGGGGAATATTTGATGTATATCATTTTACTCTTTATTTCTTGATCTAAAAGCATTTTCTAAGCTAATTATTTTCTTCATAAACCATGCATTTAACATGTTTTCATTAAAAAAATAACATAATTCAATTTTTTTTTTAATTTGTTGCATTTGCATAGTTTTAGCATCAAAGCATGTATTCATACATTCATAGTGCATATTTCTCTTTTTTGTAAGAGAAAATTACTTTGAGATGGGCCAAATTAATGGAAATAAAGGCCCAAATTGATGCAGTCGAGCTTCACTCTTCTTGGAAGCCCAAATTTATTTGTGCAGCCCACTTACGAAATGTTACAAATGGAAATTTTGAATCAAGTAAATTAACTATTGCGGGGATCCAATTTTGTTAAATTAAAGGTTAGTGAGAATCAATAATTAAATGCAAATCGGCGCTGAATCACTGAAAATAGGAAATAAGCGAATTATTTCCTCCAAATTAGTCCTAAAAATTTCTCGTCATAACAATCCAGTTTTGCAATTTTTAATTTTGGGGAAACATTTGATTTTATTATAATTAATTTCAAGCTTAATTTCTCTTATACAATACTATATAAATAGAGGTATGAAGACAATGCATTAATTTAACAACTTGTTTATTTTTTTATCAGTATTTTTGTGCGACCAAAATATTGTTGTCAGAACTCACCTAAGTGAAATATGTAGCAAAGACAATGACCCCTCTTGAGAGTATTTTCACTTAAGTGAAGAGACTTCTAGAGGTGAAAGATTTGCCTCGACCTCATTTTTACTTACGATAAATAATTCTCTCAAGTAAAAAACTCTAAGTGGAGTGAGATTTGATTATGTCGCAATTTCATTCAAACGAAAGGGTGCGTCACTCAAGTGACAATAACATTGGTTAAGAGAAAATGAGACCAAGATTTAACAATCAAGTTTGGAAATTTTGGCTCAAGTAAAATAAATTTTACTCAAGTGTAAGAATCCTTAACTCAAGTAAAAATCATCCTGAGAAGAAGATGAGATTTTAGATAATTTTTGCTTGAGTCTCAAGTTACATTTTTATACTTAAATATGCATTTAGATGTCTAAAACTTAATTTTATGCTTATCCCATTGTATTTTTATAAAATTTTAATAATAAAAATAATAATTTCTTTATTTTTACCTTGTGTTCTACTTGAGATTGATTAATTAACTTATTTTAGTAGATAATATAAGTGATAGACTTCTACAAGAATAGGTATAGAGTTAATTGTAAGATAATTTATTATTTTGTCTTATAATATTTTGTTTTATTTTATAAGATGTAATATATATATATATATATATATATATATATATATATATATTAATATATATTAGGAGGTTAAAATTCATATTTAACATCTTGATTATAGTTTTGTTATTGAGCTTTATCTATTTTATAAGAAAATTTGTAATTAAAAGTTTCAAATGGTATTCAAAGCCCAAAAAGTATAAAGTACAACGCTATGACATACCGAGAAATTTGAGACATAAATTCAATAGAATCGATACACCTCAGAGAAATGAATTTTAATTGCCCGTAGTTTGACAGAAATATGATTCCATGAATGTATTTCTATAAGATCCACCGTTTGAGATAGGTCAATATACCCCTTCCCCAAAGATTAACATCTTATTCACTCACCGCTCCTCTCTCTTCAATATTTAACTTTCTAAATTTATCCTTATTATGAAATAATCTAAAATAATAACTTATTCTTGGATTATCAAAAATTAAATAAAATAAATAAATCTCTAACTTGTAATATCTTTAAAGATTTTGAATTAGATTTCATATTACTATCTTCATTTTATTTTATTTTTGGTTTTAAGGTTTTCTCACTCATACTAAAATAAAAAGATAGTAAGTGTAAAAATTTGACTAAAATATTCTGACATTTGATTTTGTAATCATAGCACTCTATGTTTTGAATGAATATTTTTTCTTATCTAATTGGTGTGTAGTTATCGATAAATGAGTTTAGTTGAAATAGTATTGTAAAGATTACATTTAAAGAAGGAAATGAAGAAAACAATGTAACAAAATATGAAAACGAAAAAGAAACAGAGAGAATAATATATTTGTTTTGTTTTGAAAAGGAAGGTAGTTTTTGACCGTAGCGTTCACTCATTAGTGCATTATTATCCCATGATTTGCCATTTGCCAGCACCGGTCTCGCGTAAAAGCTGTCACATACTTTTACAAAAAGGAAGCAGGAATTTGTGGAAGGTTTGTTTAGGTTGAATTGAAGTAGCAAAACCAACTCCTATAGATGGCTAAGTAGTAGTTTATAGTTTATTATTGGTTGAATAATTATGATTATGTGAGATTAGAAGAGTGAATAATAAATGTGCACAAGATAAATAGTTATTATATGAGTAGATGGAGTTATGGACCATGTAATGTCGTGGAGCACATGAGCCTAAACGGCGTTGATTTCGGTGATTCCTTGCTTTCTTTTTTGTCGTTTCTTTGGTACTCAAAGTAGATGAGCTAGGGGAAGATGAAACTCAAACTTCGAAGCAACACATGCTTGTATGGCTGTATTCCGATCTCGCGAATAACCGTGAAGAAGCTAATATTCTTCTCAGCTAGTAATACACAATTCCTCTTAGGATTAATTAGCATCCAAGTGAATCAAATCAATGCTCAAATCTCGAGTTTTACTCTCGGTAAACAACACTACTAATATTCTATTCTTAAAGTTATTTTAGGTTTTTTAATATTTCATTAAGCTCTTATCATAATTAGTACGTGCACAGATATTGAGTTTGGTTGGATTCGAGTCCAACTGTATGAGTAAAGTGAATCAAGATAAATTTATTTGGAAAAATAGACTTAATTGATACCTATTGGATAGATAGTACAAGGAATAAGATATTATTGGACCCGATAAATACATCAAGAGAAAGACCCTAAAGGAAAATTTGATTATAAAAAAGAAAAAAAAAAAACCTAAAAACACGTCTCTCTTTTATTTTCAAATATAACGGAATCATTCACTGACATAAATTATTCAACTAGTATAAAATTTAATGTAAATTTTGTGTCATAAAATGAAAATGAATGTTAATAAGGATGAAAAATTGGTTTTTATACCGACAAATAATTACTTATATAAAAAAATAAACTTTTTGTACGCAATTATGTTTTTCTCATAGTTTTTCATGACATATCTAATCAGCTAGTGGCATACGAGTGCACATGTCTTTGCACGCTGGATGTGAATGAAATTGTGATATAACAGTCCCCATATAAGTCAGGTTGGCCAAAAATAGTAAAACGCAAGCATCCATCCACCACAAGTAAATCACGAAGAACATAGCAATTCATTTACCACATAACCTACAAAGTGTGCAACATCATGTCTGTTCTTGCTTCAGATGCACTACAGTTACTGCCCAATCATCCACTCGAGTTCTACAAACCACAATTAAAAACACAATGATCCCACCATACAACTTTCACATTTTAACAATATATTATGCGAAAATATATTTAACTCAATTCCATAAAACTCATTTATCTAACTAAATTTTAACATATTTTTTCACACCGAGTAATTTAAATTTCAAAAATATACATAATTGTGATTACGAAATCTTTGTCCAAATTTGATATATTAGATATTATTATAACAGTGAATATATATATATATATATATATATATATATATATATTAAAAATATTACTTTATTATCTTTAATTTTAAATTAGGTATTAAAATTTTTTTATTATAAAAATATTAGGTTATTATTTTGATTTAGGAAGTTAAAATTGAAATATCAAAAATATATTTATATAAAACTTAAAAAATTTTCATAAAATATATGTATATTTATATGTGTTGATTGTGTATACAGTAGTTATAAATGAATTAAGTAATAGGAAATTGCAGGAGTAATTAAGAAGAAATAAAAGAAGGGGTTGTTGAGTTGTTGTTATAATAGAGAAACACATGGAATGGGCAAGGCATTTGACAACATCGCAAATGAGCCACAGAACGACATGTTGACCGGATATTCCCATATCACAAGCTGATGGTTGAATAATTGGAATAAGAACAGAAGGGTGGTGGAAAGAGAAAGCGAGAGATTATTAATTAAATGGTATTAGGGTGGGAGTATAGAAAATGATAAAGAAAAGGAAAAGTTTAATTTCCCGGAGAATCTAGAGCGCATCAGGCGCTGACCGTGGCTTCGGAATCTATTAACAAATACATTAACATATTGGTGTGATCTTGTTGGCACATTAATCAGCAAGTGAAGCAAGGAATAAAGAAAAGAAGGACTAAGCATGGGGTTGCGAGCATAATATAAATGCGATGCTATAATAAAGTTTTCAAGTCTTAGGAACAAGACCATAACATAAGACCAAAAGAAGAGAACAAAGCAATAACCTATCGCCTAGACAAGGTCACGCCCATAAGTCACGTGACCCTACCCATGTTCACGCCGACGAATATGGTATTAGCCTATCTCCACCTCCATCTCCACCTCCACCTCCGCCACCACCACCTTCACCTTCTCTCATCTCATTTTCCCTCCAACTTTTACATCTTAATTAATTTACATATATATCACTGGTTTTAAAAATTGTTATATGTTTTATGCTGATGACGGGTTTTCTTTTTTATTCTCTTGGAAATAGAAAGAGGACAGGTGGGTGAGTTGCTTAAGGTAAAGGTTGTGTTGGACATAAGACATGGAATATTTGAACACGGAGAGGGAATATTGGAGAGGAGGATTATATGCTACATAATTAGACAAATGCTAGCGTTGAAATTCTTAACGTTAACATCTTTATACAATTCCTACTTGCACTTCCTCCCACGCTCCATTCACAAACTCACTTCCTCTTATTACTTCCCATATAATTACTAATCAACAACTAATTAAACACATTTTATATATGGTGGTTGGTTCATTTCCATTTTTTTTTTCTCTCAAAGTTAGTTTGGTGTTGAATCTTAGTTCATTCATTTGAAACCTTAATTCAGTCTTCATACCTGATATTAAACTTTCCTCAAATTAACCTCCATTCTTAACATATATAAACGGAATATCTAATTACATTTGTGTTGGTTAATTCTCTCTGCTTGAGCCAATTTTTGATATAAAATGAGGGAAACATAGTTCAGTTCTAACAATAATTCTAATATAATTTATTGGTTATTATTTAAGTGAAAGTGGACTTTAACTTAAATATGTTCGAAGCTGGAATCTTGTATATATAAAATTTGTGCTTAGAAGTGAGACTTTGCCAACATGTTGAAAAAAATATACTTTTTTTTTTTTAAATAGTCATATTTACTGGACTTAAATATAATTAAATTATGACTAATTTAACTTTATTTAAAACATCCTTATATTTGAATTTATTTATAATCTAATAATTTATGCATCACCCCAATAAATATAAAGAGGGCAATTAAAAAGTTGTATTTTGCAAAAAAAAAAAAAAAAAAAAGATTATAGTTATATAGAAGAATATTAGCTATAATTTTTCCTTCTGTGACTTTCTGTATTATTGTAATGTATTGAAAATTGTTATATTTATTTTGATAATCGCAATTTATTGAAAATTGTTAGTTTTATTTTGAAAAAAGAGAATAAAAATCCACCAAGTTGATGAATTATTTTAATCATAAGAAGAAAAAAATTAGAAAAGATCAAAGAGTTTGGGTAACATTCTTTTAGTATACATTGGGGTCATTGGCTAGGCAAGAAGATATGACAATATCATATCATTAATAAATAATATAAAAATATTTTTTATTTATGAAAAAATTAAAAAAATAAATATTATAAATATATAAATAAATATATTTAATAATCAATAAATTTTAGATTAAAATTTAAAATGTATAAATAAGCTCCACCACTTGTTTTGAGCCTCATTTGCATGTGGGTCTGCGACCTGCTCTCACCTAAACACTACACTCTTCACATACTCATACATATTTTCTTTTCCCTTAATTCTTTCAATCTTTCTTCTCACCTCCGATACTTCAAACTTGGGCACCTTCGCACGTGTACAGCTCCACCTTTAATGGCTACTTTTGCAACATTCATACCAACAACCTAATAAAACTTCAAATTATATATATATATATATATATATATATATATATATATATATATATGTGTGTGTGTGTGTGTGTGTGTGTGTTATAGTACGAGCATATATAAGTGTCTCTTAAAAAATGCATGGAAAGACATGTTGATATTCATAAACTTGGGACTAAAAGAAGTTTAAAGAAAAAACTATGAAAATCTAGGGCTGGTTCGAAATGTTTATTCATTTGTATGGACATAAATTGTGATGGGTTTGGAAAATATATGTGTATAAGCAGTCATTTTCCTGTGACTATATATAGGCATGGTCCAGGATATGAACTGAAGCTATGTAGCTTGGTGTGAGGGTATCCCAAAGCTACAGTTATAGGTAGAAAACGACGAGGTTTAATGGCACATATATGTGTGCATGTAACAGAGAGAGAGAGAGAGAGGAAGGGTGAGTTCAGAGAGAGGATATTTAGGGGTGGTAGTGAATCCTCGTTCATAATAAAAGGGGAATATTCCAATTGAAGAAAAATGGATTATTAAAAAAGATAAATTAAACTCTGATAGAAACAAAAAGAGCAGGGAATTTTAACGGGTCGCGATCCATCAGCGTAAACTAGAGACTCAATTCTCATTCCAATATTCCATTCAATAGTACCCCTTTTGTTTTTCTCGAAATCCAACCATATTCCTGCCAAGAACCACCAATTTTTTTTTTTCTTCAAATTTCTGTTTTTTTTTTTTTATTTTATTTACCTGCAGATAAGGGAAAACAGACCTTAGGTCTCAGACTCTTCCCTTCACTTTCTCTATATTTCTCTCTCATCTCATCACACCCTCTATCTCTCTCTACAGTAGTACTTTGATGGCTAATATATATGATATGATATATCTCTCAGCTTCCATAAATAACTACTACCCCTTTTCACTAACTTTTGGTTCAAACCACCATCCCCAAAAAACTCTGATCCTTTCTCTTTCTCTTCATTTTTTTTATCTGACTAGTTGTGACGAGTAGTCCCTGGAAAATTAATTACTCTCTCTCTCTTTCTCTGCTTTTAAAATTTTGCCAATGGTGGTGTTCCTTCAACCCTAGTGGGATCCTATACTAAAAGCCTATCACCACACCATCACAAATCATAAGTCACTCATGATATAATCACAACCTTAAACGCTTCCTTTTCACCTCTTTCAATTCATTTTTCATTCCTCTCTTCAACTTCTTCAATTCCCTCCCAACCATCTCTTACTATATTTGCTTTTCATGCCTTCGATTAAACTCTTAACTCTCACCCCTTCTAGCTATTAATTCCATTTCCTTCTTACATTTCACCACCTGAACAAACCTAGATCTTCTTCTCTATTCTCTAGTTTCCCTATACCATAAGCTTATCTATCTATCTTTCTCCATGTTCACCAATTCACACACGCTAATGCAAACTTTACTGTCACCTTTGCCCGAGCCAGACCTCTCCTTGAACATAAGTCCTCCCTCTATTTCAGATATTTCTGAGGCCAAGGAAGTGGGAGGCTTAGGCAAAGTCATTTACAACGACATGTGTTCAACTTCTGATTCGGGGAGCAGTGGAGGAAGTGATTTGAGCCATGAGTTCCACAACCTTCGTCACCATCGCGAGCCCACATTGAAGTTAGGCTTTGGAACCGTGGATTTGAATCCGCACCATCAGGTTCAAGGTGACACAAGAAGCTTCAACCACCACCACCACCATCACCTTCAACCTCACATCTATGGCCGCGATTTCAAACGAAGTGCAAGAGTCGTCAATGGTGTCAAAAGAAGCGTCAGGGCTCCTAGGATGAGATGGACCACCACCCTCCATGCCCATTTTGTTCACGCGGTTCAACTTCTTGGCGGCCACGAAAGTAAGTGTTTCAAAATCCGTCGCTAGAATTTAGCAGATTCCAAAATCAATGAAGAAAAACCGTCTCTAAATTTGGTCACTGATTCATTGATTTTTATCTGTGTTAAAAGAAATAACCTTTTTTTTTCTTTAATTCTTTTAAAAACCATGGAAAAATAATGTTCTATGAGACACGGTTCAAGTTACATTATACGTGCGAGTAGTTTGAGGGTTTGTTATTATTGTATCCAAAATGGTGCTGGTCTTGAGATAAAGCATATATGTAGATATATTCTAGGTTATGTCTAATCTTGAGTTTGTCTTGTCACACTTGCAGGAGCAACTCCGAAGTCTGTGTTAGAGTTAATGAATGTTAAGGATCTAACCCTAGCACACGTCAAGAGTCACTTGCAGGTGGGGTAGTTACTATTCAGTCCCCATATATATATATATATATATATATGTGTGTGTGTGTGTGTGTGCACAATCTCTCTCCATTATATTTCTCCATAGTCTTTGAGCTTAATGAGTGAAGTTCCTATTCTTCCTCTTTGAATTAGTTTCTGACTAGACAGAACAAAAGAAAGGGAAAAAAGGACTTTTGTTAGTCGTTATAGGTTTGCCTCTAGTAGTGGGGGAGGTAGAACCAAGGACTAGGGACAAAAGGGGTATCTAGATTATGTAATGCAATCTTAGCCTTGTGGACTTTTCTTCTCATTTTATTTTTATGCGTGGTGTTCATGCAGATGTATAGAACAGTGAAGAGCACTGACAAAGGCAGCACAGGTAATTGAATGGGGGTGTTGTGTTCCTTCTCAAGGACCCTTTTTCGTTTCTTCTTCTATTATTATCATCATTATTATTCTCTTTGTTTGAGATCTTCGGTGATTCGGGTGTGACAGAAAACTCTATGATTTGCCTCTAGTACTGTTCCCCGTTAAAAACAAAAGTCTCTTTGGCATATAGGACTGACTTCAAAGTCCTCGAGTAAATTATTAAGCTCTGATGTCTGATAAAGGAAGAGCAATGGCTCTATTGTTGATGAATTTTGCAGGTCATGGGCAGACAGATATTGGAGTATTGAATCCAAGGCCAGGGATTAACATTGTTCATCTGCATGCACCCTCACCCAATTTACCAGACCCGATTCAAAGTTCCCACAGGTGCATTCATTTCCTAAACTATCTCTCTTTTAATGTATTTATGTGCTTTCACTTTGCATTCACACCAAAATGTTGTTTTCTCAATGCAACCAAATGTTGACTTGTTAACTAATCTTGATTCAACTTCTGGACCATTAAAAGATACCATTGTTTATGTAGGAGTACAATGTATATGCACGATTTTTCAGAAATTCCTCTTGTCTGGCCCTTTTGTTTAATTTCTTTTCTTGCCAATTTTTTAGAATAATTATCCTCACATACCTCATTTTTAAGGTCTTTACATGAAAATAAATAATATATATCAACAAATAATGTGATAAGAATAAATAAGAAAATAAAATGGAGTTCTAAAACAGAAGTGGAAGTTAAAAATAATTTTTAATTAATATTAATGAAATTTTTCTTAAAGCATTAATTACCGAACTAAAAAAAATGTTTATGTAAAGTGTGAAATTTAATGATTGACTACACACTATAGTTTATTATTCCTTAATGGATGTTTCTCGTGGGTGAGACTTTATTTACAAAAGCTTCACGTGTGTCATTAGCTTTTTGGTTATGTTTTTTACTACAAGGTTCTACAACGACAGCTTTTACATGTACATAGATTTTGACGAGTAAAACCTAGGGTTTGTATAGGTATAGATGAACGTGGTCATTTTCTACGTGGACTCATAATAATGTTTTGATCCCAATGTGTCGCATAAGCCACAATCGTTAAGAAAAGTAAAAGTGATAAAATAAACTTCAAATGGTAACATGACTAATCAAGAAACTCAGTTTCATTCACTTATAATCACTCGTGATAAGTATGTTTCAGTACTACCAAAATTGAGATTGGCAACAAAAAATGTTCCTCTCAGTAAAGAGGATTTCCGTTTGGAATTGTATGCATGAAGGAATTGGGTTTGGAGTTTTAAGATGAATTAGTTGGTTTGAGAAGAAGATGTTGAGCTTTGAAGATTAATCTGTTCTTCCACTGTGCAGGACAGCGTGGCAATCATCAATAGAGACAAAGCCAAACGATAGTAGACAAGAAGGAGAGCTCAAGGGGAGTGAAAGCATGGTAAGTTGTGACACAAATGGATGTAGCTTGTGGCTTGTAGTTTTGTTGCATGGCATTATGAATATTCTCCAAATGGCTTATGTCACTCACTAGGGTAATAATTTATAAACAGGTGAATGGGCAGAATTATGTTGGAGGGTTGGATTCTACCACTTTGTCACGTTCTGAGGGGATGCTTGACCTTGAATTCACCCTTGGAAGACCCAATTGGCAAAAAGACCACCCAGAATCATCAAGAGAGTTAACTCTTTTAAAGTGTTGAAATAATAACAAAATAAAGAAAGAGTTAAATTACATTAAATAAACACCATGGCACACCCCTTTCCTTTTCATTGGATCAAAGTACTAACATGTGTGTGGAGGGAATTGATGGAGAGATAGATGAGGAATTATTCCATGTGAATGATTTTGATTGGTGAAGTGTGTATGTATGTGTATATGTTTGTGATTTGTGTTTGGGGAGAGAGATGAGGAATGGGATCAAGGGATTTTGCTACACAACATATGCTTCAGTCCAAAACATCCTCAGGCATTGTCTTTAATGTCATTTTCGGTGCAAGCTATAGAATACAACCTTATGAAAATAAAATTACAATGCATTTTCAGGACATGGACCATGGTTTATAGTTAGGCAAAATAGGACCCATTTCCACATCGGTGGGTCAAGTTTTCTGTCAGACCATCATAACATCCTTCTCCTCATCATATTCGTACTACATATGCATACATAGGTTAATTCAATTAACAACAAATAAATAAATATATATAAAAGAAGAAATTTTCCGTTTCATATTTATTATAATAATATAATTAAATTTTTTATTATTATTTATTTTAAAATATACATATAAAAATATTTGATCTCGACTCTAACTAACATGATATTCATAAAAGGATGGAAAATTCGAAGTTACTTCTCTTTCTGCCGTCATCTTTTTCACCTTTTACTCCCATAATTACTAGAAATTTTTTTTCTAACCGTCATCTTTGTCTTTTTGACTTTTTACTCCCATAATTACAAGTTTTTTATTCCTTGAATTTGATATTTGCACAATGAACATACAGCATATTCCTCAAAAAAATGTAAATTTGATAAAACCACTACATTCATTATTTTCTTTTCACTCTTATCACTATCGAATATCACATTAATTATTTTAATTAGGATTGGTATGAGTTTAATATTAATATAAACAATCACTTTATTCTATCAACTAATAAAAAATCATTCTTTAAAATATTTGTACAAGAAAAAAAATTATCATAAATTAAAATTATTTTATGTGTGTAAGTTAATTTTAAAAAAATAAACTATTGATTTGTTCTGGGAAAAAAAATCTTAAAAAACTGCATAATTTAAAAAACAAAACAACAAAACGTTAATAAACAAACAAGCACTGGGTGTTACCTTTTCCTTTTCCGCAGTGCTTTGTCAAAAGGTGTAGTTCTGTCCACTGTGGCCCATTAGAACACTTTTCTTGTGGGCCGAAAGTTCGGTTTTCGGGTTTGGACAAATTTCAATTCATCTGATGTGGTAAGAACCATCCTTCGTGTTGTTAAAAAATTCAAAAGTAGAAGGCCCACCCATATGGTCCTATCTCTGTTGAGACTTTTGATTTTTTAATTTTCACTGAATTCTCTTATTGGCTGAGAAAAATAAAATAAAATTGAATGAGTTGATTATATTTTTAGTCTCAGAAATGTAAAATAAACATTTTTTAATGGTTTAAATTTAAAAGGTAATTCAGTTTAGTCTCTCAAATTTAATAAAATATTATTTTATTTTTTAAAATTTAATTGAGGATCAAAAAAAATTTTAAAATGTATTTTTATATTCATTAAAATTAAATTTTATTAATTTTAGGGCACTAAAATAATTTTTTTTCGATAATTTGGGATCAAAACTAAAATTATTTTTAATTTTAGAGAATAAAAACATAATTATTATTTTTTTGTTATGGTAAAAAAATTTATGAATTATGATAAAAAATATTTATAAAAAAATAATAAGTTTATTTTTAGTATAGTTTCTTTTTCCTCAATCAGGTTTACTTTATTTTTATATTTTTTTTAAATCGAACCTAAGATATTGTTTGAAATATTTGAGCTCAACTTATTTGGATTTAAGATATCTAAATGAGTAATATCAAGAAAGATAAATAAATAAATGATTAATATTTTTCAATGTATTATTTATAATTTATTTTTACATAAAATTATTTTTATTTAATAATTATAATAAATATTTGCGCTAGTATAATTAAATTATTTTATTTGATTTTTATATAATATTAATTATTTTTAAAATTTGAACCATCATGGTTATTAAATAAGTAGTTAGTTTTATGGTATATAATATATACATTATATTAGATGTAATAAAATATATTATAAAATAAAAATTACAAAATAAGTTAATGTTAAGTTAAGTTTTTAACTTTTCCTTTTTCCTTTACTAGAAAGTCTCTTTCTGTACGTACATAGAAGTGTAGTTGTGTCCCACTGTGGGCCCCAGCCCAATTGAACACTTGTTGTGGGCCAAAATTCATTTTGCTGATCTGCTCCATTTTTCAATCATCTTGTGTTAAGTACCAAAAATGAAAAAGCAAAAGGCCCACTCATATGGTCCTAGTTTTGTTATCAATCTATGATTTCTGATTATTTTATGAGTAAAATTGAACCTATATAATATGAAGTTTATAACAATTTAAGTTTCTACTTAACTAATTAAACTAACTTGATTATCAATTTAAACTGAATTATCTTTACACACCAGCATATGAATGCTTTGATGATAAGAACTCTTTTCAAAAAGTAATGTTTGTGAGGTGTTATTGTCTACCCGTCCTTTTCAATTGGTTGAATATAGGAATGTAACGCAGCAACATAAAATTGTAGTAGGACAATGACACATGTATGTATTAAATTGGAGCATATAAATGATATTTAAATTTTATTTTATTAATCGATTTTGTATGATTAATTGAGATTAATTATTAAATTATAGTATGTAAGTAAGATTCATACTTTATTTTATTAATCGATTTTGTAAGATTAATTGACATTAGTTATTAAATTATAGTATGCTGTAAGTAAGATTCATACTTTATTTTATTAATCGATTTTATTGAATTAAGTTAGATATAGTGATGTTGAGTGGATTACTAGTAATATTCAACCACCCATATATATGACGTGGAAGAATGTATTGAAATTGAAGATTATTTATATCCTCAATCCAAGAAGGAGTGTATTAAAATTAAAATTTTATATCAATTAAATTATAGTACATAAATGAAATATAAACAAATGTTATTCTATAAATTATTTTTATAAAATTAAGATAAATATTTATTTATTTTTAACATAATATATATCATAATATATTTTTTAAAATTATGACTTTTATAATAAAAATAAAATAATGGATTCGATAAATTAAACATAAATGTCTCTTAATAGTTTATTATAAAATTTAAACATAAATTGACTCCATTTAAACATAAAAAATATTTATCTGTTCTTTCATTTATTTATTTATTTCTATTTTTTTTCTAAAATAAACATACACGGTTAAGTAATTATTTTTTAATAAAAAAATTCTTAATAAAATCATCATTATAAATTATAATTCCATTAAAATGCTATTAGCATCAATAAATAAATTAATTCAATCATGTGACTTATGTTATAGGAAATTTTAAAACTAATGGTAATCAACTTAGTGGATAATATGAAGAATTATCTTCCAAAACTGATCATAACCAACTTAATGGAAGTTGACTATATAAAGAAAGTTAAGGTTCAGTCTATTTCATAAGGTTTTCTCACCGTTAATCAACAGAAAGTGTGAGAGAAGTAAGAATACATAAAAACTATTCGAACTAACATGTGATATCGAGCATTATTATTAAATTAATGATTCTCCTCTTATGATGTTTCTCAATTTATATTTTTTCCAATTTTATAAAACCTTGATTATGAAATTTATTTTTTTGCTGCATTACGAATTAAATGCACATTATGAATTAATTTATGTGAATAGAAATTAATGTTTTAATTTTATTATATGAAAAAATATTTTTAATTTGAAAGGTGAATGATTATAAATTAAAAGACTTAAAATTGAAGAATGATTCCCTGTTATGTGAATAGATTCAAAATGAAATGCTTTGATTTAAATGTTATATGACTTGATTGGGTTTCAAGTTTGTAGTTAGCATGGTATAACAATTAATGTTAATGTTTTGATATTGTTATAAGATAAAAATTAATGGAAAATGTTATGAATGGTTAATAGCAATTAAAGGTATATATTTATTTGAAATTAACCATGATAAATTTTGTTAGTCAACAAATTGACCAAAATTTTAAAGTTATTTGATTTCAAATTAATGATAATTTTATTTCAATTACCCGATGCTAAATTATAGATAATTGATTTATGGGTTTAATTGAAGTTCATTATTATAAGGCATTTCTGGATCACTCAAAGGTTGATTAATTGATCTTATAAATAATGAGCATGATGTAGATAATTTTATGTACGTCACTAGTTTTATTCATATACCCAAATGTATTAGGTGATTCTAGTTTATGCATATTTTAATTATCACTAATGTTATAATATGATTGACATCATTATGTTTGCGTATTAGTGAATCTCCCAAAGGAAAACATTAATATGCATAGAATGTTTATTTGTGTTTGAATATGCATTCTATGTTTTATTTATGACTCAAAGCATTAATGTTAGGCATGTGTTTATTGTAGTATATATTCTTATATCTTTACATTCGCCCGTTATGTCTGTTCTAGTCTTTAATGGGTTAAATCTTTTTTACTGAAGTGAACAAGTCTAATTTTACTTAGGTGTGTTGGATCTTGATTTGACTTTTCCAGTTAAAAAGCTGGCTACTATCACTGATGCTAGTAGCAATGAAGGGAAAACTCATTATAGAGCTTGAGAATGGTCAAACAGACTTAGTCTAATGTTTATGCAAATGAGATATCAAGTAACATTAAGTTTATTCTTCCTAAAACTAAAAATGAGAAAGAATTTATGAAATTTGTGGAAGAGTGCTCCTAAATCGCTGACAAGTCTCTTACTAGGACATTAATAAGTACGTTGTCAACCATGAAGTTTAATGATTCTCGTACTATGTACGAACACGTAATTAAGATAACAAACATCACAATAAAACTCAAGTCTCTTGGAATGATAGTGGGTGAAAATTTTCTCATGCAGTTCATTTTGAATTT